TTAATTCTTTCTTGAGTCCTGCCTTGGGGTGAATGGCGGTCTCCCTCCCTCCTTCGCCAAACTCACGTCTACCTGGCAGGTGCAAAGGGGAGCTCATTTGGAAATAAGGTGTCTGCAGATGCAATTAAAGATGAGGTGGTTGTAGATTAGGGAGGGCCCTAAACCCAGCGACAGGCGTCCCCGTGAGAGACACAGAGGAGACTCAGACACGGAGGAGAAGCCACGTGGAGGCAGACGGAGGAGGCAGAGGCGGGAGTGAGGCTGCGGCCACAAGCCCAGGGACGCCCGGAGCCCCCGGGAGCCGGGAGAGGCGGGAAGGAGCCTCCCCTGGAGCCCGTGGAGGGAGCGCGGCCCCGAGACTCCCGCGTCCCGCACTCCCGGGATCCGGGACCCAGAGGGGACACGTCGCTGTGGTTTGAGCTCCCAGTTTATGGGGACTGATTGCGCAGCCCAGGGAACAGATACAGCTAACCCTCACCCTGACCCAAGGCACTTGTGGACTGGCAGGGAAGTCCGCGGGTCGAAGGAGACACCAGGGAGAGCCACACACACAGGAGAGTAAGAGGAACCGAACGTGGGAGGCCTGGGAGGGGCTTCGTGTTGCCTTGGAAACACCAGGTCTCCATCCCTGCAATGTGTCTGTCTCTCTCCCTGTCTCTCTGTCTCTTTCTCTCTCTTTCTATCTCTCTGTCTCTCTCTCTGTCTCTTTCTCTCTCTTTCTCTCTCTCTCTCTGTCTGTGTCTCTTTGTCTCTCTCTTTCTGTCTCTCCCTCTCTCTCTGTGTCTCTCTGTCTCTCTCTTTCTGTCTCTCCCTCTCTCCATCTCTGTCTTTCTCTCTCTCTCTCTTTCTCTCTGTCTCTCTCTCTCTCTCCATCTCTGTCTTTTTCTTTCTGTCTCTCTGTTCAGGATCTTATTATCTGCGTTATGTTGTTTATTTATTCGATGTTATCATGCATGCTGTTCGAGGACGAGTGGGTTCGGTGCTGACTTGTCGGGAGCAGTTCGTGGGCGACAAAACTCTACTGCTGGCGCGCGGAGCGCAGGTTTCTGCGTTGGCGCAGGGAGGTATTATAGCGCGCGCCTCTCGGATGGTTTCACTCCGTCTCCTCGCTTGCCCGTTTCGGCAGCCAGGCAGGTCGCCCCACCACAGGGCAACAGATAGGTAAGTACGAGCAGTCGGGGAGCCTGCAGCCCGCCCGCCTCCCGCAGGAAGACACGGACTCAGCTGGGGCCCTGGAGATGACGAACTGCGCGGCAGATGGGGGACCGAGTGCGCAGCCTGGACCGCTGCGAGTGGCGGGACGATGCCGGCGGTCGCGACGCTCACAGTTCTCGCCCGTCTTCCAGGCGGCTCCGGGCTGCCGGAGGGTGGCTCTCTGTACCCCGGCTGCCAGGTCACCGTGTCGGACATTCCCGGAGGTGCCGTGCGCGCGCCCGG